GATTTAATTGGCAAGAGCCCTTCAGAAAATGAGACCTCTGGAGCGGCAGCTCTAGGGAATTACTGATGCCTGCTTGTAAAGCAGGTGCGGGAAATTAAATGATAATGTTACTTGAACATGTATTCACTTCGCTGCTGTTGGGGAGGCTGGAAAAGTTAATGATGGTGTAGTTGCTGTCAGTACATGTGACTGACAGAATAGCTCTGATGATGAATAAGGTGCCTCGCGAAAATAATTACAGAAATTGCATCTTAGGTATGTGATTTGTTTTTCTTACAGAAAATGCGATTAGAAAAATATTTGTCATTTTCTGTGTTTCATTAAATTCACGTGTATCTATACATTGCAGTTGGCTTAGAAGAAAAGCTGATACTCTCTTTAGAGGACAAAAGATACGTTGTTGAAGCCAGACTGTATTTTTGTGAGATTTAAACTGTAAACTCAATACAGGCTGCTCTAGGCACTTGTATATTTTGCAAGGCAGAGGAATATCGTGTTTCGGTTTCTTTTGCACTTAAACTGAAACAATTGCATGTTGTCCTTCTTCGATTTGAAGACTACTTCAGCAGTCACTGGCAGTGTTGTGACACCAAACGCTTTAGCTGATATATTTAAAAGTGAAAACCTGGGAGAAAAATAAAAGAAAACTAGTCATTACTAATGAAATGAAAATTTAGTGCCTTTACAACTAATATCTCTGAGGTGTTACTTCTAAGTTTAATAAAGAACTAAAGTAGTCTATTTGTCATTTATTTCTAAAATTACATAAGGCTCTTTTTGTAGCTCCTTACAACAGATAAATGATACACTTTGCGTGTGACTAGCGACTTCCTCTTTTCTTTACAGTTAAGAAATTCTTCTTTGTAGTTTTCTGATGGGGTGAGGGGAAAAGAATAAGAAGAGATTGTTCTGAATGTGATTATTTTCTGTTTCAGATTTGTAGCTGATTGTTCACATGTGTCCAGGGGGAGATGAAGTACATTGGATCCTGCATAGTTTGGCTTTGTATGGCAGTCTTCCTTCTCCTTCCTGTTTCTACTTCTCTGGCTGTCAGTGACCAGACAGGTACTTCAGTTTTTCTTGCCCATCACAGACCAAAGGCATAAATCTCAGTACTGAACAAATTTGAACAAATAATGACAGTACGTGGAAAATAAGCAGTATGAGCAGATTAAATTATACATGACTTTTTTTAATCTCTTTTTTAAAAAGCCTAAGGTTGAAGCAGTTCCAAAGCAGCATTTCTGTTTCCTGTGCTTGGAAGATTCATGTTTGGAAGCAGTTGTAGTTCCTAGGAGTTTTGTTTTGTACTTTTTCAACTTACAATCCAAAACAAGATTCTAAATCAGAGCTTGCAAAACTTTTGTGAACAAAATCATGTGGCTTTATTAGAGCAGATCAGTAATTGGACCAAAACAACCTAATGCTCATGTTAACCTCACCTAAACTTAATCCCCAGACCTGGTCATACGTTTCACAGATGTAGAGTTAGACAAAACCTTGTGCCTGAGAAGACAAGGGAAAGGAATATAGTGACTTGTTTAATTTAAAAGCTGTTACCCGTCTTCTGCAAATTTTCTCATACTTCTCTGTTTTCTTCTTTCTCTTACTGTCCACATGTTATCTAGCTCTCTCACTTTAACTCTACATTGCCTCTCCAGAGTGTGGTAAATTCTGTCTTAAAGGCACGTCACGTGTGCTTGTAAAACAAGGAATCGTCAGTTTTCTAGAATTGCTCAGCCTCAGCACGTACCTCAACTTTCTAGAATTTTCATACAGTTATTAGCAAGGAGAACATGCTTGTTGCCATTCAAATAGAAATAGAGTTCTTTTTCATTAATTTTTTTTTTTTTTAGAAAATGAAATTTATATTTATTAATGCTGTTTTTCCAGAAACCTGATGAAAGATAATAGAAGCTATACACATACAACAACTTTGAATCTCCATGAAACATTTGAAACTCAGGCCCAAGACATTTAAAAAGTCAATGACTAGGATAATAATCCTTTTACTACTCCTGGAAACAATAAATAGTAATATTTAATAAATAAGTGTAATGTGCGGGCTGTAAGGTAAGAATAATGCATTGTGAAGAATCTGAATTTAAGTCAAAGACTTTTTTGCCTTGTATTTTTAGGGCAGCAAGGCTAAGTGCTCTACTGATGAATTATTCTTAATCCCTGTGAGAGAGTGAGCCTACATCATAGCTGTGCAATCATTCTCTTCAGCTGTCTGAAAGGAGCAAAATAAGCTGTATTCTCTGTCATTGCTAGCTGGTGGATTGTAGAAGGGAAGTTTTAGAAGTGCTAAAAGGGTGTGAGTGCAGAAGGTTCCCCAATAATATAAATGAATAAATGGAAACTTGAAAAATTGTAGAAGAAAATACCAGGAAGCATTGTCTCTTTTCATTAGGAAAGAAAAAAGAATATAAAAAGAAAAGATGTCCTAGTAAAAGGTGGACAGGTCATAGAAGATGTGACAGACACACTGAACTGCTAATAAACGGTGTATCTGAATTGTACATTACATTCGTTAGAAGTTTGTGGCTAGGCAGCCAGCAGGGAAGTAGCAGTTTTCCTTAATCTGATTGCCACAAATGGATCAAATATGGGTCAAATTGAACCGCTGGGAAGAAGAGGAGAGATTGAACCTCTCCTGAGAATAATTGATGGTGTGCAATTGAGAGAGGCTTCTGCAGTTTGAGGTGATACAGGCAGATGGTGAGGAATAACAAGTAGATAGCTGCCAGCTTGAGCAGCTCTGCCGACAGCAGGGAATAGGCTCAGAGTGAAGCCTCAAGTTGGTAACAGGAAAGAGGCTCTTCTAGAGACTGAAGGGATGGTTACTGTCCAAAAAAGAAACAGAAGTTATAGACCAGAAAGCAGGAGCTGAGAAAGAACAGACCCTGCGACGGTGCAGCGGTAAGGGGTACAGGTGTGTCTGCAAGCCTTTTGTTAATCTGCCCCGTTCAGCTGAACCGAGTACTCTGTGTTGCAAAGTTGTCTCATTCTAGTTTGATGATTTGTATGCAGATGAATCTGTTAGAAATTGGAAATGTGCTCACTTCAAGAAGAGAGAAATATCTAACCTCCTCTGTCTGCCATTCTGTCTGCCATTCTGTCTGTCTGCCTTTCACTGGCTCTTTCGTGGGCCTTTGTTCTCTCCCAGGTACCAGTTCTGTCTGGATCAGCATCTGTCCTTCAGGATCTGCCTAGGCAATCCTTTTGGTTTTCTTCCTTCAACAACATATGCATAGCATTTATTTCTCACTGTGCTAATATGAAAGCTTTTCCAGCAAAGCCCATTTAGATAGGCTCTTGGATTATTGCATTTACATCCTGAAATTTCTCACCTGATCTACTTGAGTCTGAAGGAATGGCCTTCAAATGTAGGGAATTAAAGTTAATTTGAAGGGGGACAGGGGGGAGAAATGTGTTAGGCAAAGGAAAACTCTTGTGCAAGAGAAAGGGTTAACTTGTGTGCACATGTAGGGGAAAGCTTTCTGAGCTGACATTCTGAATATACTTTAGGTCTTATTCATTGGGTCAATGTTGTAATAAATAAATACCAGTATTGGAAAAAAATGTCAGAGAGTGACAGAGTATGCTGGATCTTCTCGGAGCAGTGCTCCTTAGGCTCTGAACGTGTGCTCATAACCTTTAGATTCACATCAAGGATTTCTTACCGTTCTCACTTGTCCAGAAGTTTTGATGTGCTAATCGTTCATCAGAAGGAAGCACTCACTTCTAATGACAGAATATAGCAAATCTGAGGGAGAGGGTTCAGTTCTCCACAATCATGTTTTTGATCTGACTTCAAGAATATTTTCTTCATGTTGTCAACTTACATTCTTTTTAGTGTTGGGAACATTTGGTTTTGGAGCGTGGACATGAGCTCTTTCTGTAGTGACACATGAAGTTCTAATTTGATCATTCCTGAATGCTTCATATTAAGAATATTAATACTTTGTCTCATTCCCAGATCATTGCTCCTTTTTCAACTTTCTTTTACAATTACTGTTTTTGAAAGTCACTTGCTAACCCATGAAAAATGTAGTATAAACAAAGTCCTGGGACTGTCAGGCATGGTGAATTTCCATTGCCTTTTGACGTGGAATGCGTTGTGAAAAGTATTGGCTCTAGATCATAATTTTAGAGAGGCACTTCAACCCAAATACAGTGAGTAGTTTCAAGTATGCAAATCAGTTCAGCTTTTTGTTTTTCATGTTTTTAGTACAGCTAGATACTTCTCATAGTCAAGATAATGGCTCTACAGTAACTCTTATATACAATGTATTCATATTCTTAATATTCTGAATATTTAAGGTTGGATCCACAAACTATTGTTAGCATTGCAGTGTTTAAGCGACCCTGCCACCTTTGGATTCCTTAACTTGTAGTTAAATACTAAGTCTTCTTGGGCAGCAAATAAGGAGCTTTAGGTATCTATAAGAATGTGGTTCATGAAAGCCTGCATGCTGTGAAAAGCCACTTCAGCTAGTGAGTACGTAAGAGAGATCCCAGACCACAAAGGGGAACATTCTCAGCTACACACCTTCTGCCAGTGTGAGGCCTGTAAACTAGATCAGCCCTTTTTCTTTTATGGAAAGGTAGAGAAAGAAAAAAGCATCAACTCCTACAGCCAAGATATTCACCTGGGATATCATAGAATCATAGAATAGTTTGGGTTGGAAGGGACCTCTAAAGGTCATTTAGTCCAGCCCCCCTGCCATGGGCAGGGACATCTTCAACCACATCAGGTTGCTCAGAGCCCCGTCCAACCTGACCTTGAATGTTTCCAGGGATGGGGCATCTAACACCTCTCTGGGCAACCTGTGCCAGTGTTTCACCACCCTCAGCATAAAAAATTTCTTCCTTAGATCTAGTCTCAATCTACCCTCTCTTAGTTTAAAACCATTACGTCCTATTGCAACAGGCCCTGCTAAAAAGTTTGCCGCCATCTTTTTTATAAGCCCCCTTTAAGTACTGATAGGCTGCAAGAAGGTCTCCCCAAAGCCTTCTCTTCTCTAGGCTGAACAACCCCAACTCTCTCAGCCTTTCTTCACAGGAGAGTTGTTCCATCCTCCTGATCATTTTCGTAGCCCTCTTCTGGACCCGCTCCAACAGGTCCG